CTGACGAGAGGTTGTCTGTGTGTTCGTCTTTACCGATTTTTCATCTCGAGGCCTACTAAAGCCACAAAGCTGAAACTCTGGAACTTAATCTACATGCGTGCACGGGCTCCCTCTCCAAAATGGGCGCTCTTACACGCGTGGTGCCTACGAGAATCTGAAAAACTAGAGAATTGGAATTTTAAGGGGATGCACTCCATCCAAGTAGTTATTAATGAGTTCAAACCTAGCCATCGGGTATGCGTGGAGCCCGCGTACGGGCCTGCCAAAGTTTTTTTCGAGTAAGTTGCTAACTCGGGAACCTGAAAAGCTAGAAGACTGGGTGTTCCATGTTCACGCAGGTCTTAAGGGGGTTCACGTCCAGCCCCGGAAATACGCGGTCCCTATGTACGGGACCGTGAAAGTTTTTTGCGGGTGAGTTGCTAACTCAAAAGCCAGGAAAGCTAAAAAGCTGAAATTTTAAAGGGATTTTTCCTGACAGCCCTGGTGGCCAGTCTCAATTATCTTAGCTAGAAGCATTTGCCGGAAAAATCGATGCCGTTGGTGACAAAAACCTACGTGGAACTATGCTAAAAACGCATTTTCGTACTGGCATTCGGTGCGCTGACCACTAATTTTACTTTGAACTGCTATCTCCATTCTCAGTAGCACTATTATTCGATTTTTCAAGTAGCCGAATAAGGCTGGGAGTTCGAAGTCTGGCTCTGTGATACGGATATGCCGAATTATTTGTACAACATCATCGAAGCGAAATAATACGAAGCAGATCTTAGCAGAACAAAAAACAATAATAACCTCAAAATTGCTGCCGTTATCAATGAGCATTGCCAAATGTTGATCGTATATATTCATTTGTACAAGCGTATGCCTTGCAAGCAACTCTATGGCGTCCACGTTAAAACGATAATCTAAGCGACACTCCACGATTATTCGGGTGACGCGCCGAGCTAAGTCATTCAGTGGGAGCTGAGATAGCAAAATCCGGCACACTTGAAAGAAGATTTCCTTCAAACGTCTATTCCAATCCGCCTCAGGCGCTGCTAAAAAATAACTGATCAAAGATGCGCAAAAAGTCAGCTGTGAAAAAGGAATAAAGAATTTTTGGAATGTTTCTTCGCAACTATATAAGCAATCAGACTCTCAACGTCCAATGAAAGGCGTGCAGGATGGCACTGCAACCGCGTTAGAAAATGGCCAGCAGGGCGTGTTACCTGCCATGCTTACAACCGGTGAAGCTACGTAGCAGAACGAAAAATTATCGGCCATCCGAGCAACTCTCACGCAGGTTAGGCAGCAGAGACTAATTAGAGTCATGCAATTCTGGAGTAAACGGCCTAGCACAGTTAGGCCTGAGTGTAGCATCACAACAGCAGTGACAAATCAAGCCCTCACGCCGCCCGCCAGAGCAGTCTTGGTAACGCTGTCAAGTCAGAGAGGATACTACCTGTGCGAATTAGATTTTTGGAAGGTGATATTTGGGAATCGAGTTACCAACTGCTTTATTTACCAGAACCAGCACGCAGCCTCATTTATTGTTTCTTTACTCGCTACTGAATTTCTTTTCGACATGATGAGAAAGTCTGCGTTACTGTGACTCAAAAGTAACTGAACAAAGCATCTGCACAACAAGACTTGTGAAAAGAACTCACGCATTGGATGCTGCTGAGGGATGTCAGGATTTTTATATGAGCACAGCAACTGCTCAACAAGACGCTGTACGCAGTTATGCATTTGGATTGGCTCGCGTGGATTTGACGCCAACTGCGATATCGCATCGCGAATATTGGTGATCGCTGCACTAGCTCGATAGTGCGGCACGCCATACGCTGTCATGACCGAGTCGATGTCATGCACGAGCATTTGTAATTGCTGCACGAACTGCTCCACTTCCTTGTCCATGCCAAGCTAAAATAAAAATTAAGGCTGGACACAATCACATGGTAGGCACGAACAACAACCACTCCCAAGAATGTGCATGAAAATCTGCAGGCACATGAGACGGAGCCGTTTAGCACCAGAAATCAAAACCAAAAGGCAATACAATTTAACAACGATGAA